GACAATGAATGAAAATTCAAATACACACCTTGATGAACAAAACAAGTTGTCAGTCGATCCCGGGTATCCAGTGCAGTAAACATAAAAGAGCCCCATCTGTCCCCCAAGTTTAAATCACTCCAGTCAGGTTCTGTGAAGTTGGCTTAAGACTGATGTCCTTTTAGAGGCCATATCGAATAAAGGGTACAGTTAATGTCTTCGTGACGCAAAATATAAAGCCAACAAAGACCAGCATGTAAAGTAGATGGACTGTGTCCTTATGTGGTTTTGGCGCCAACCGGATGTCTGAACTGTATCATGAAAGTAACATTCCTCCCCTAAGTTATTTTGGGTTCCATATATACCCTTGTACATATTCTTCTGTGAAACATACAACAGTTACAATCTTCGTCCTCTGTAAAACCAAGTTTTTGATGAAACAGCTTGTGCCCGACTCATGACGAGTTCTTCGAAATGTTAGAAAAGTTTATCGAAACAGACAACTGTTGGTGAATCACTTCTGGGGGATTTTAGGGAGGGAACAACTTTTACGCACTTGCTTGCTCTAGAAAGACCACTTGAAAAAAGCGGTCATTGGTAATCTCTCGTAAAGTTTTATCTCTTAAAAAAGGCAAAAGATATGCTTCTTGTGAGTCAGAGGCAGCACATGTTGAGCGAAGTTTGGAGGCAAGTACTGCTGTTTACAACGCAGTAGCAACCAATGATTGTTTGAAATCAATGAACACGCTGGTGCAAACAGTAGCTGAACAGGCAGAGTTTAAGCACGCGTACCAAGCAACGGCAAGCAGTTAGAAGCGTCAAGTCGAGTCGCCAACCGGACAAAACGCACCAATCTATGAACCAACGAAAATTGAAATCAAATTATTACTTGATTCACGTGAATTACGCTAACTGGTTTCTCCATCTAACCTAAAACAGCAACCATATTGCAACTGGCCTGACGAAGCTTGTATTCAAAGTGTTTCATGTCGGAAACCAGCGCGAACACATGTTCTCTCACCCAGCTTATCAGGGTTATGGTCGAAAGCGGTAGTACCGTTCAACTCAATGAGTGTATGGTAGCATTGGTTGTGCTGAACAATTTAACGGAATGCAGGTGAACTGTTGGTAAGTCCTGCCTTGTTCGTGTCAGTAGCCCCAATCTGTTAGAAGAGCAAAGAGAATCAGCTAAGTTCACACAGATAACATGCACATTTGCGTAGTTACTCCAATCGGACTGATATTACAAGGTCAGTGAGTAAAACATTCGAGCCATCATTTGGTGTACTGTCTAAACAAGTTGTCATCATAGAACACTATTGAAACAGGCGTGGGGCCATTCTGAGGTTACTATCGGAACTTGAAACAAACATTTGACTCGTTTGGCACAAATATAAGCAAGCCGTATGAAATAGACGTTACATTTCTATGATATGTTCCATCTGCTTAACCTCTGCAGTACGAACTACTCTGATCCCAGCATACCACAGAAGAACCGATCGATTTATCATTTTGAGCATTAAGATTACAGGTTAAACTTCCACATAGGACCAGTGCATGGCTCTTTGGATACATGGCAAGACCACCGCATAATTCCTTCCGGTTTTTCAGGCGTCCATTGAACAGCAGAAAAATCTACAAATTTTATCGTGATCGAAATACCCCTGAATTATTCCGACTGTGTTGAAACACACACTGAGTGTTATCTCTGAAAGACTAGTCACGTTGCTGATATCATCTAAGAACAGGCTGCACAGTGGTTTCAGGTGTTGTAATTTGGTCACTGCTGAGGAAGTTTACAGGGAATGTTAGGTGTTCAGCGACAAGGCGTTGGATTTAGACATCAGCTAATATACTGCACTGGGTACGGGTGTTTTACTATTAAAACTCGAAAGATTAGCAGTGTATCATCCTGCATCCCAATTGAACACATCAATCTAAGGTTGTTTTCGAGATGTAGACTGTTCTAACAAAGGATCCTGTAGGGAAGGTGGACGAAATTATACCATTGACCGATGACCTTTATCAACGCTACCGGCACAGAGTTCCATTTACTTTGGTCAGTATGTCTGAGACATGTGTTTGTTTGGTTACGGAGCGTTCAATAATCGGTATTATTTGGGCTGAAAAAAATAACTGCAAAGGTTTTATTGGCTAGTATATTGACAGATAGGCAAAGTAAGCTGAACCCCTCAGAAGGGTGCTTCACGTCCGCTGAAGGACGGATCATGGAGCATTTCATGCACATACTGGTTACCCACGGAGCAGAACACGACACTACAGAATGATTCGCCGTTGGGAAAATTCCCTCTGGTCACAGAAAAACTAGCGGGAACTGGCTTCTCGATCACTTCAAATGGTTCAGCGTCTTGATCAAGCTAATAACCAAATGTTTGCAAATTCATACGCCGAATTTGCTGAGCCACGGGTGGTAATACGTAACTCGTCCGAAACTTATCAAACCTGGAAGTTGCACTCCTAATGGTTACCTGCCATACACACGGGATCAATTGATATTCCACCATTTTAGAAAACAGGGTAATTAATAAAGTTCGATAAATTGAGTGAGGCACCACACTTCCAGTGAACTTAACTATCATGGAGAACAGTAAGTGATCGTCCAACCTCACAGAACGGAAAACTTGTGGGGGTATTATCGGAAGATTAAGTGATAATTTAGCCAATTAAAGGCAAAAAATAAACACAACGGGGAGAATGTGATCAATAGTGATACTAGGGTGTCTAAAGTGTGAGGCTAACGTGATGGTCGGATGCTATTTATAAGGTGCGGGGATCGCATATCTGTTTGCGCAAATCCTACTCCTGAGACTTAAGAATGAGTCCCTCAAATGCGAGAAATCCAAGGAGCCATTCTTACTTCCGACGGGCTTCTACCGAATCAAACACAGCACGGAACACACCAATGGTTAGAAGCATTGCCACCTATGGTTTCCTCGCCCCTTCAAAGGGGCTCAAGCCTTTAATGCATAGTTCCCCTGCCGATCTCCCAATGAAATGTCCACTGAAACATGCATCAGTTATATCAGCTACCGTATCCAACGCATAGCTACCTACCCCACCTACCCAAATCGTCGGCGAACGAAACTGTGACAGCTAGAACCATTTAAGGCAAGTAGTACGCGGTTTTTGCAGTTGAATATGATTATATTGATTCTTGAAATAGTCCGGACGTTGAGACGTCCGGTTGGCCGGTACGAAACAGCCGCGGAGATGACGTCGAGTGTGAATGAACATAAGTGGCCTATTGTCTGATAAACCAACGGCACGGCAGTTAACGGGTTCCAGCTTAAACCGAATCGGTAGTGTACAATCTTGCTCTAAAGTATAGTTTCCGAATCCATACGGGTAAATGATAGGACGTCCTAATTCCAGGCGTTTAACCCGATCGGTCTATGTACGTCGCTGGACTACTGTCATCTGAGTGAAATAACACTGACTAGTGATGCTTGTGTGGGCATACACGGAACAGATGTACTGTATTCAGAAAGGGGATAAAGTTCTCTATACGCGGTCGGCTCACTGTGTGTGATTTGGTTTCTCAATTAGAATGGTTGGTGTTGGAACGCAAGTAGGGAAAGCTTCTGACTTTCAGTAAAACAAAATGCGGCAGTTAACGCAGTAAGGAGAGCACGATTATAAATAGCTATCCAACGAATTCGCCGAGTCAAACCGCGGTGAGAAATACCGAGAGAAGCCAAACATTCTGTCGGTGCTTCCGAATTTGATGGTTAAGAATGACGTTTCTATGAGCAGTCTGGTGGACGGTCAGGGAAACCGTTCGGGCTCTAACCACTTGGTGCATCTCGCCCTCAGGGAACGACCATACTTCAGCGAACACAGGCTGAAGATAGTAACTTCTCGGGAAATCTCGTTTGAGATACCTATTTGAATGGACAGTACTTAAAAGGTGCGTAAAGTAACGCAAATGAGCTCTTGTTCACTGAATACCTCTCTAGTGCATGTCCACATGGATACGCTAAGCTGACTCAGTGTGGGTTCGTGGCCGTGTTTCCCAACAGTACCATCGAACTGGATGCTTTGGATATAGTTTAGACTTAGAGCGCACTAAATCAACATCTGAGATCGCCTTCTATGATTCTTTTAGAGAAAAATAAATGAAGTACCTATTCTTATGGGACGATGCTTCCATCCATTCAGCTCATGACACTAGAACAGGAACATGATCCCTCCACTACCAGATTTTCAAATTGGCTTGTACTTGGACTGGATATAATCCCCAGCGAAAACCCATGCGAACTAAAGAAAGACGTGAATTTTAGAAGAAAAATTAGAATTTCAGAGACATAGGAATGAGGAAATATGGAGATGAAAAACCTCACATGGTGTCCCAAAGGGGAGTTACTCCTCATAGAAGCAACAGATTGCGTGAAATACATTGACTTTAGCTAAATACACTCATTTGTAAGCAAATTTGTTTTGGGAGACTCACCAGGAACCCAGCCGAATCTCTCGTTTATGACTTTACATAACTTGGTTAAACTTCTAACTCTAATTTTGTCAAGCCCCAAGTTTGGAATCGTTAGATAAGCCGTGACCAGTTCACTCAACAATAAACAGAATTGAATGATTATTAAACAAAAGGAAGCTAATAGGGTTTTTTATTACCAGTCTCGCGAAGCCTGATTAGTGGAACAAACAAATACAAACTGGCGACCTAAGACTAACACTTCATTTATCACGCTGCACTATTGACCGAGTGGTACGTCATCAAGTGCACTCATTCGGCAGATAATCTGATAGATCTGATAAATCAAGTGCATCCTGAGTTTCGGACAAGAAGTATAGGTGCGATAAATGCAACGACTGAGTGCAGCATGATACTCTTATGGCTGATTGAATTCAGCACAGATTTGCGCCGTTTAAGAATCAGAAAGCCGGATTCGAATATCTACTGTGCACCGACGAGGTAGGCGTTGTGGTATTCTCTCTAGTTAAGAAATATCCTGAGAAAAAGAAACAACCTAGATGAACCCGGTTTTCTCTAAAGGTGAATCCGCTCTTCAAGCCCAATAATTCAGCAAACAAGCAGGATATGACAATTGACCCGACCGAGACTGTATTCAAGACAAGTACGAGCGGATGTAACAGTTTAGGACAGACCTGCTGTGGGATTCACGGAAACGGAACGTGATGGACCTAAGCGACCGTCATCACGGCGTAAAGGGATCTGACGGACACAGATCATTTATGGGATGCATTACGCACTATGGAGATTAGTTATTCAGAGCTCTGGCACAATGTCCGGCCGCTCACTCAGATTCAGCTCCAAATAAAAATCCATTGACAGTTTTCGTCAACATTCTATGGGATGTACAGCACGTCGTGGACTACCATGCGCGAATAATCAGAATTCGTAGAACTGGAATAGTCCTCATCGGCAAAATTGATTGAAGAGATCATTGCAAATAAACACAGTCGCTGTGAGGACGTATCCTTTTTTTAGTATGAGAAAATAGAAAAATCTACTTGCTGAGAAGTGCACGTTTGATTGGAATAGAAATTTTTGAAATAAAGCAAAGTTTTCTCAAAAATACTAGTTGGATTCAAGACAGGCAGTTCCGGTGCACAAAGAACATAGACAACGCAAATGGCATTAACCACCCGGATAACAAACATTCTGATCTGATCGTGAAAAAATATCACCTTCATCAACGGTTCAAACTCAGTGAAAACACTAGGGTTGTTTCACTCCATGTTTTGTGGCGGCTTCGTTTATGAACGTCGCTAGCTCAATATCTCTTTTAGAGAGACCACCGGCATCATGCGTCGTCAATATGACGTCTACCTGCAAAGACAAGAAAATGGTGTTTGTGAACAATGAGAAGAGGTACAGTAAGACAAACAAGTGCGCAATTCAAAACGTGTCGAAAAAATCACTCAGTGACTGTTGGACTAACGTTCTCCATTACTGTGAGATGCAGGAGGTAACAGCGCCCCTGAGACGGCCAGCAGAGCTAGGATATAAACGTCTTGGTGATTGATTTTTGCGGTTCATCAGTCAAGCTTTCAACCACGGTCGTCGTGCATAGAATCAAAGAGCAGATGGAGTCTATGCGGATGAAGTCATGATGTTTCCTGCGGAGGCACCTATGAAAACTTACCCTCAGAACGAACGCCAACCAAGCTCCAGACATCAACCAAACATCTGTTTAGCACAGTTCGCTAACGTCGCCCTAGAAGTAGTTGGAACCGTCCGGACTACCTGAATTATTTTCCTTGATTGAGAAGCTAACAGTGTCGCGTCGCTATCTCAGCCAACGGTTTCTTGTTGTTAGGCATAATACACAGCTGACTTGGTCCATTCGAACTTTCAAAAACTATGGCCGATCTCCCTTGATTTCATGGATCATTTTCCTCTTAGCGTTGATTAGTAAACACAAGTGGAGTGATCAACAAGGGTACCAACATCGCTGTTCTATAAACATTGTCCTTTGAATCCACTATTTTCCCTTGGTCGGTATTGGCCCTTATACTGAAAAAAGTCGAAAACAAATGGATGGCGTGTTCTTCTACTTCGAACGGCTGTGAAAAACCTGACCGATCTTGTAGGAAAAAGGAAAATTTCGAAGTTGTGAGGCTGGATTCACCCGGTAAGAGAAGCCAACCTATATTCTGTAGCTTTCCATTTTTGTTAAGAAGTATCAGAAAAATCGATCCAGTTAATTAGATCACTGAAAAGTTGGGCACGCGTTCCTTTATACGAGGCAAGGAGGAGAGATTCATGAGACACATGTTGTCTATCATTCTTAATGAGGACGATATATTTGCCCAATGGTTCTCAGCATTCCCACATGCGCCCAACTTGCGTGTATAATAAATTTAGACTGAACGCTATGTGGGTATCGGACAGCCCATTTCCGGTCATGCTTGTTTTCGGTCGGACGTATAGTTCCTCACGCTTGTGCACGGTGTTGTGCGAAAGCGATGAATATATAAGACAGAAACACGTTTGTAGGCACATGCAACAACGCATCATGGGCTTTTGGGAACAGCCACTACTCGGTGAGCACCATCAAGTAGTGAGACGTTAAACAAACATGTTACATTCACCCAGTAATTTTGTTCGTGATACTCGCACAATTACTGTAGGCTCAGGCGAGTGAGGTTTCATTCGCGGAGAATGAAGAGTGCAACCCTGCAACCCTCTGGGCGGAAGGGTTGGAGACAGGTCACAGAAGTGAATGCGATTGAGGGATACATTACATGAAAGGAGGAAGTTTCGTTGCACAGGTGGTGGTGCGAGTCTAATTAAGGGGGTAGAGCCGAGCAAAAAAGAGCTACATGTATAGATGCTATAAGTATGACTTCAGTTTTGTTCCACGGAGTACGCCTGCATCAGGACAACCCCAAAGCTACTATGGTATTAAAGTTAGAACATGTGCAGGCCAAACGGTCAGATCTCAAAGGGGTTGCCTGGACATCCAAGACGATCTCTGACGCTTTGTTCTCTAAAAGCAAATGTGCAGCGGGCAGCCTATGCACAAGGGGAAAAGATACCTAGGGTGGAGCAGGGAACAGCACACTTCAGAGTCGCCTGAGTAAAATGTTGCTTTTTACGAACACTAAGGTGGCGGCGATCACCCCGTTCGTGGTGAACAAAAAGTTTCCAAGTCACACCACAATATCACCCAGGGTTTGCCTTCCAATGGGTATCTGCCTTTGTGATACACTCAAAACAGGCTCAGTAGCTGCACCCACTTGCAGACGATGACAAATCTTTCTTCTGTGCATGTTTGAACTCTTCAGTACGACCCAATGCAATTGATTTTATCGTCCCACTTTCAAAAACAATGTTTGGAAGTTGGATGGCTCGAAAATCAACATTCTAGTCTGGAAACTGTGTGTTTTTGAGGGAATTTTGCCATGGGCACTGAAACTAGATTGCCCAAAACAATCTGGTGATTTGTGACGCCCGGGTATAATCACTGGTATGGAAGAGGCCTCTCGATCGGTCATCGCCAAATAAATGCTTGATCCCAAAAGCGGAAGAACAGTCACTAGAACGCAACGGTATTCTGTGAAAAACATGAATGAATAAGATAGAAACAGCCAAAACCACAGAAAACAGGTAGTAATGTCTTATTCCCTGAGCCCTCGGGTTAGGCCAACCGCCTGCAGCCAAGCAGATCGAACTACGAAGTCATCGGCTGTGGGCAGGGTTCCAGGAGAAAACCCTACTGTCCGCTGCCTCGTGGGTCAGACTTTTGAGTCAAAGGCCCAAGGTGGGATAACTCAACTAAACCTCCTTCCTCGGCTTGGGCAACCGGGAAGTATTATTTGCCCACGAAGTTCACCGATATCTCTGCCAAGCAAAATTCACTGGGTCACTTATCTATCCGAAGGGCCTTATGGTCCTCGGTGCCTATTAGCAATAAACAAACAAAACCCTTCTAAATCCACGAGATCATTTTTATATAGGAGCTTTGGACGTCCATACTCTATATCAAATTGGCAAACAGGCAATTCTTGCTGAAACCTTATACTCCCTTAAAAGTGATGTGTGCTGCGTCTCCGAAACACGCATACAATAACCAAGCGTGGTTACGCATCTCAAAACGCCCAAGGTGAACCCAGCTCTTTCACATTTCTCCCTCCGTGTGTCTGGTGATCCAGAATCAATAACACGTGGAATGTATAGTGTTGGAGTTGCACTCAACCCCAGAGCTGAACGCGCTTTGCTGGATTGGATCCCAGTGAACAGTCATCTTTGCGTCGTCCAGTTATCCAGTTCAATCAAGCTTAATGCCTCTCGGCATAAAAAGCGGTGCCTACTTGTGGTGTCGGTTTATTCTCCAACGGACTACAGTTCTGATGCTGAGAAGGATCAGAGAGCTATCCGGGATCATTCGTCAAGCAAAAAAGCACTGATATTGTGGTCCTTGCAGGCGATATGAATCCCCAAGTAGGTCGTCTGAGCTTCTTGGAATCACATTCGGTCAGCCGATTCGGAATCGATGCTCGCCGCGCAGACAGCGGGGACCGACTTCTTCATTTGTGTGCTCATCATAAACTGTTTCTGGCAAATACGAACTCTCAACATACATGTTCGCATCGCGTAACTTGGCAGCCACCAACTACAAATCAGCCATGAACCCAGAAGGACTACATAGCCATCAGCCACCGATGCAGAGCCACAATCAAAGACTGTCGTTTCTTCTGGGGCACACCATTAGATTCCGATCATGCCATAGTGCGTGCACGCCTGACAGTTCGTTTCCCTTTAGGCCCTCGCAAGTCAGCAAGGAGCATGTCAATCCACCATCTTCGAAGAACTACCGTCGCTCAACAGTATCGATCCGAACTAGTCCAACAACTCTCCAAAGTAAACAAATAATGTAGTGAGAATGTGGACGAAGCATGGCAAAATGTGAAAGGAGCCATGTTAGCGGCGTTAAGCGCAATCTGTCCAACTTCTACGGTTCGACCACAAGACCAATGGATATCGTCGATATCCTTACCCATGATTGATGCCAGGAAAGCCATACCAGCAGACGAGCAAGACTGCGCACGCAAATCAAACGCCAAATAGTGAAAAGTCTAAGGAAAAACCGAGAGCTATGGTAGACATCGTAAGCTCGGGAGATGGAGAAGGCTTTTGATACGCAAAACAGCCGTACCCTATATCAACTGATACGATCCACTAGCCCTAGGAAAGCAACGGTCAGCGAAACGATGGGTGAAAAAGATGGCTCATCAATTCACTCGCAAAAACGTCGACTGGAAAGATGGACCGAACACTTCGAAGAACATTTTAGTTCGCCTCCTGCAACACAGCCTGTGGAGATAATTCATACAAGCGGATGGAATGTAAACCTTGATAGCCCACGAAATATCCGTGCTAAAACGTGTCACAAAACCGAACGGTCTGTATTCGGCCTTCTTCAAAGGCACAGAGCCCCTGGTTATCCATCTGACAAAGCTTATTGGTGCTATATGGAACGAAGATAATGTGCCTGCGGAATGGGACATGTCGATAGTTATCTCTATCTTTAAAAAGGGTACGCGAACGCTGCGTGAAAACCGCCGTGGCTTCGAATGTACTCTCTGGCCTTATCCTCCGAAGGTTGACTGGACACAGGGAGAGACAGGTCCGTGAAAACCAAGCTGGGTTCCGTCGTTCAAGAGGATGAATCGACCATGTCTTCACCCTCCGACAGATTCCTGGAGAGTGACACCTCTTGCAGGAAGCAACAATGATTGTGTTTCTTGATCTGAAAGCTACTTTTGACTCCGTGGATCGTTAGGTACTGTAGCAGTGTCTGTGAAACAAAGGTGTCCCCCATAAGTTCTTGACTCTCCTTAGGGCGCTGAATGCCAACTCCCGCGGCCGTGTGAAGGTCTACGGTAAGCTCTTGCTTGAGTTCACCACATCAAACCCTATAAAGCAGGGCTGCCCCTTTCACCTTTCTTCTTCAACTTCGTCATTGATACGATCATGGAAGACTTAGTATCAACCTCTAATGCCTGTGGGGGCAAAGTACTCCCGGGGCATCCGCTCACGAAGACGACATAGCTCTTTTTGGATCTGATCGCGTGACAATGCAAACAATATTAAATAATCTAAATAATCCTACCTCACGGTTTGGCATGCGCTTAACGCCCGCAAAGCGTAAAGTGATACTGTAACACTGGGCCGGCTCGATCCATAACCTCATGTTTGCGGATGAACCGATTGAGGTAGTAGACAAATTTGTTTACCTGGGCGGCTGTATCAGTCCCGGTAGTCTCGTGAAAGATGATATTTCCACCCGGATTAGGAAGGATAGAGCAGCTTTCGTGAACCTGCGTCACCTGTGGCGTAGGCGTGACATCGGCTTATCTGTCAAGGGTCGAGTTTGCAATGCTGCGGTGAGCTCGAAAAGCTGGCGGCTGCGCGCTAAGGACTTAAAAGTCTCTCAGTGTTCGACCATCGATTTCTTCGGAGCATTGCCCGAGTCTGGTGGAAACATCGGATCAGCAATGCTGAAGTAGATCGAATGGTACTCGAAAGAAATAACTCACTCTCAGTAGATGAACTGAACACATGGCATAGGTTGTGCCGGCTTAGCCACGTGCTGTGTGCGCCAGTCGACTGACTTCCTCGAAGGGTTCTATTCGCACAACCACGGGAAGGGTGGAAATGAGCGGGAAACGGTCAAACAATGACTTGGCAGCGAAGTGTGAAAGCCATTACCAGAAAACTCAGCTGCGCTGGTCACTGCCGTTTTCCTGGATGGGGACCCCGAGACGGGCCACATCAATGGTTAGACGTTGTCAGGCATGGCCCAGTCGCGACCTTAGTGGCATCCAAGCTATTGCTTTCAATGCATAGCGCCCTCCCTAGTTCCCGCGCTTAACAGTCCACTGACAGTGCTGTATCTACGCACCAATTTATCAGCTCCCGCCTCCAATGCGCAGCTATCTACCCCACTTCCCCGAATCATCGGCGAACGGAATTGTGCCAACTACAACCACTGCACGACAAGTACGCGGTTCTTACAGCTGATGACGATGATGATCAGGGTGGCATGGCAAGTGGTCCCTGAACAGATTTCACAACTGAATGATTATTTACTTTTGTTTGTAAGCACAAGTTATCCAGTATAACGCAATTAGATCTTATAGCCAGCCTCCGAATAATTCGGATCCAAGTTTTACCCGTATCAAGTGGGGTCCGGTAAAGAACAGCCGCGTCTGCCACACTGATATTGGGCAAACAAGTCTGCAGTGCAGCAGAACTTTTAGGTTGTACTCATCTCAGTGAGTGCAGGTCAACAGAATGATCCAAGGGCTGCTGAAGTAAACTGCAAAACCACCGTATTAGGAAGCTGTACTATCAGGTCTGATTTCTTTACAATTACCAGCTGATATTTCACTATTTATTCAGTGATATCAACTATGTACAGTCTGGGCCATCCCACCAGCTGTACGAGCTTGTCTATTTTCCAGCGATACGCTCTCTCTCTCTCTCTCTCTCTCTCTCTCTCTCGAGGGCACTGTACTAAATTTTTTTCGTGTGAGTGATCCCAGGTCTCAATGAGCCCCAACCCATCCGAAGATTCTTGACAATGAGGCTCGTTTCATCGTCCTGGATTCTCGTTTGCCGAAAACCAAGAGCCATTACCGTTTACTCCCCAAAACTTGTGGGACCTAGCTAGGCGATTTGCGTACGGTTTTCCGTTCAACTCACAGAAAAACTTCAGTGAATACCACTCCAACGGACAGATGCCAAGTTCCTTCTGCCTCAGACAGAATTCCTAATCTTACAAATACTTTCGTTGACTCCAGATTCTTTCTTTTCGGTGTTTTTTTCTAATCAGCTGTTGGGTGCGACTGAATTTCTATGGTGTAATGAAGCCGTTGGTGCATTCCTTTTTAAGATCTATATTTGCGGCCAAAGAAATTATGAGGTCAAGGGCTTTTGCTGCGTCCGAAGTGAGCACGCCACTGCGTCCATTACACGTGCGTACGAGCGAGCACTTTCAGAGGTAATGCGAACCGACGAGTTGATGCTCGTCACACTTCTGGATAACAATCTTCTATGCCGGTAACTTGTGCTACACACTATGTACAGGGGAATAGCAGCTGGTTGGATGAGCTCCCCATCAGGCGTATTTTGCCCTGGGGTCCGTGCGGAAGAGAAGCTGTCATCTGTCAATCATATGCAGAGATATCTCTGCAGGGTAAATAAAACGGCCGCAACACCAACATACCTTGCGTGGTGCGGTTTTCCCTCTATAACTGATCGTTTCCAGTCTTGAAATTATTCTAATCGGTTCGATCAACACTTTACGCCTTCTGCAATCACGAAAATGTCAAAACCCACTTTCAAAACTGAATTGGAAATCACACCATACTAGCACACGAATATCAATATTACCACAACTTTTCGATTTTTCATTTTTGTGACCTATGTGGAGTTCATGAAAGGGTTCGTAGGATTTTGATGACACATATAACCTTACTTTGGTTTATGTGCACTACAACAGCGTTTTTCAGTGTTTGCTCCAGTTGCACTCCGTCTTTGCCTAAGGTGTAACGTTTTTTGAAATATAATCCCTAGCGACTTACACGGTTTCTACATACATGTGATGCGAGTGTTGTTGACACAAATCAGTGATACCTAAAGTGCCATCTCGTGACTATGTGTAACTACGGTCTCAAATGAGGTATTAATCGCGCAGGTCCAACTTGTATGAGACGGACTAACAAGAGGTTGTCTACCAGGTTGTGATAATAGCATCAGCCCTGAAATACCCTCGTTGCTTCTATTATTATGAGAGCGGCTTCCTGCCGTGTAATAAAATAAAACAGATGGACATAGGGTACCGAAATCGAGGTCTTAAATGGAGGCCAATTTTCTAAGAACGACCCAAAGGTCTTTAGGTTTCCATCCACTTTAACAGACGGTATTGTCTGTTGACTACCAAACAATGGTTTGAGACTAACGGCTGGCGTGATCCGTAGGCCGCAGGAAGAGGTGCTTACCTTATTGTACACGTTAAACCACTCTGGATGATGGTTCATTTCTCTAGCCTTCACGGCAACGTCCTTCATGAATTCGAATGCATCATCAAAGTTTTTGAAAGTAAGCGAACGCCGTATTGCATCTCCGGATCTATGTTCTGAGTAGGTCTGCCACGAATGTGGTTGAAGCAGAGGAGAAAGAAGACTATCACGTTCCTCAGCTGAGAGTGGTCGCATTTTCAGTTTCTGTATAGGTTAACTTTAAAAGCAGTGAACAGAGCAACATACCCTTGCTTTTGTGGAATATTCCACGAATGGCGGGAATAAACGCCATGAGATGAGATACCGCGGAAAATTTGACCTTAGCGCCATCAAGGTCAGTTCCACAGATCAAATCACGGATTCACGGATTGATACGCAGAATCGAGGCTTTTGCCCAAGGTTCCCGGGTCGCTTTTGCTCTTGTCGGTCAGTGGCTATAGTTCACCTGATAGGCACAAGTGAAAGAAGGGTGTAGCACTGCTCTTTATGTTCTCAGCATGGCGCAGTATGCTTGCCAGCGCGAAGATTCGCATAAATGAACGTCTAGTAGTGCTTTAAACTGGGTTCTAGAAGGAGCGTGAACAACCGTCGGAGGAAAGTCATTCCACTCAGCTACTACCTGAAATGAGAAAAAATTTCCAATGAATGTGTGCGCTGCGAGCTAGAAGATCTTACTATGTCCCTGGCGAGTGCCTGCTGGGTCAACGGTGAAAAATCTGTTTGCCAAGCTCTGTTCAAACAGGGTATAAGTAAGAATTAGGTCCCCTCGGAGACTACGGTACTCCAGGGGAAAGAGATCAAGCATCGCGAAACGCGTTTCGTAGTCCGCGGGCTCGCACAGGGATTCTCGGACAAATAAGGTGTACTGAAAACTTTGATCGAGCTTCTCTGGTCAAATTTGATGTTTAGGTTCAGACACCTCCTGCAAAAACGCACGCTGGAAAAATTTGTTGCACCGACGTTTTGTAATTCAGCACTGGGCTTTAAGTCTGTCAGTAAGAGATCTCCACAAAAACATCCAAGTGATATCATATCAGTCCTGGATATCGCATGCATTACACTTTGATGGGGGTTATTCCACACGCCGAAAAAACTAAATGAAAGAAACGGCTGCCCAATAAAGCTCTAATCCCAGAATATTTTCATCATGTCCCCCCGTGTATTTGTAATGTCAGCGTTGATAAACCCATCAGCCAACTACCAGAGTGTCACTTCCTCCACGAGGTTACGACACTCTACAAACAAGAGGTTAGGGACCTCCAGATACAAGCTGTATTCAGTGAGCTTGAGGACGCTGATTTAGCTAGCGGCAATCAACTGAAAAGTCGCAGTTATTATTATGCCCCCTTGGAACCTGAGTAGACAAATTGTTTGAAGTCATCAAGATAGGGTCTGACACCGGCTCCACGGAGTACCTTGAAGCATACCCAAATAATGTGTTAGAAAGTGTACAGGACCATCAGAAGAACGCCGAATTTCATTTGAGCTGATTTTCGTGACTGTGTAAGAAGTGAACCACATGCCTAAGCAATTTATTGCCGTCTAGCTTCTTAGCACTTCCTTTCCAAACAAAGGCCTTGCGTAGGTCTCCTGCAAACTTCGTTCAGAGGAAACCTGGTAAGACCGTAATTATTGTATCAGGTCGCCCATGAAAACGAGTACGCTTAGCACTTTCCTAAGGGTATCTTGCTGTTGACAGTGAGGCCATTTAGAACGCACGCTTAAGAATGCACCCCACCAGTTTGCACGGTCTGCAGATACCGGCGGCTAAGCGATCACGACATTTGCAAATTGGTGTGAATTGCTTCTAACAAGACAGCTTCCTCTCGTCGAGCAGCTGGAAAAATGTCACTTAGAGGCGTTCAGTCGAGCTTCGGAGTATCTTCAGAACCTGCGGATGCACTTCACTTGGCTCCAAGGCGCAGCATGGACTTATCACTTAGGATAATTCACAGAAAACCTCGTCTAGAAATATCCCTTTTCCCGCTGTTTGTCCCACCTTATCGAGATTGGATATGATGTGGTGGCTAATGCAAAATAGGAGCCTACACATCATGCTCTGTAGATTTTGCATATTACTAATGGGTCACTCATAGTTTTCTCCATTTCTGCCCGGCGAGGAGAATAACGTTGCCTTGTGTCGTAGGTCATGCCTGATATATTTATATCTTACAATTTTGTTCTTCAGGGACAGCCTTGGTACTGCGGACAGTCTTCGTGCGTTCCACTACGACCAACATTTATTTTTGGATCACATTTTACCCCTTCGTTGGTATGGTCTTGGATTTGCTCTCCGCTGATCCGAAATGAAAAAACTCGTTTTCACAATTTCGAGACGAGCTTGATATATGGAGTGGATGGCACAGTAATCCTGAAAAGCTTTTTCAAGATTTAAATGGGCATTATGGAGAGAGTAGATATGCGCATAGACTGGATGGTGGTAATTAGGTGAAGACTTTATCTGTTGGCACTAATTTGTATAGGTTGTGTTTAAAAAATGTGGGCCGTGTCATTTGCAGCTACCAGAGGGTACTAGTTGAGGCTAAAGCGAGCGCAGTAGTAGGCGTGTTTTTTAAATGATAAAAAATTTCTTGACTTTCCTCATCCACCATACCCGTGACGTTCCACAGACATTTGCACTTGAGTAGCGCCCGCGTATTAGTCTAGCAAACGAGATGGTAAACCAAGTGCACAAGCTTCCCAAGCAGTTCACATTTAAGTCACCTAAAAAGTAGAGGAAAATGCGTTCTACACTCCACTTGCAGTTGGTGGCGTTGAAGTTATAAAAGAAATATTGACCAGTTTGGCCGTATAAAAGTAGGCGAGGAAGAACCTACGTTGGAAGATAATAACATGTCGGTGAAGATACCAAAGCATTCCACACATCGATTAGCTGTATTCTTCTTCTGCCTAACTTGTGTACTCCTCAGACCTGCAAATCTGCGATTTTGAGCCTCACAGGTACTTAGATTTGCGCATGCATATGTGATCCACTTTGTACAGCGGTAGGAGTTTCACTGGCAAAAAATTGTAGGTGACTAGGATAGAGGAGTTGGGGTGATTGATCTCAAATTATTTCCTTCATAAGATTAGCTTGAGAATTATAATCAGCCAAGAGCCTGAGGCAGCCGTTTGTTCAAGGGCTGAGGGCAAACCTAATAGAACGGGCTTGCCAGTGCTCCTTCAACATCGCTGAAACTTCCGCGGTAATTGCACTGACATTTCTACCCACTGGAGAGCTGCAAGTGACCACATCAACCATATGGCACACATTGGAAAATCTTTGGTCCAGGTTATGTGGGTGTGGGTCGCACTTGTATGCCGTTACGTTCTATCAGTCACTACAACTCAATATAAGATTTAGTATTTAGAATGGAGTCGAAACTAGAACGTCGAATGTTAGAGGGAACCAGTGGAAAGCTGGAATACGAAAGTCACCATTTGTCATGAAGTGGAAGCAATTAACTGAAGAGAAGAACAGAGTATTGGATAATAAAGAATCTTCAGGATGGCAATAAATAAAACGAATGAGGGGGCGGTCAATCGCCAGGAAATTCTCGGAGAACCAAAGGGTATAAACAAGTGTAAAAGGCATGAGAGCAAAACGCACAAGACGACGCGAGGATGTCAAGGGACAGCGCATTTAAGGTCATGCTTGTTTTCGGTCGGACGTATAGTTCCTCACGCTTGTGCACGGTGTTGTGCGAAAGCGATGAATATATAAGACAGAAACACGTTTGTAGGCACATGCAACAACGCATCATGGGCTTTTGGGAACAGCCACTACTCGGTGAGCACCATCAAGTAGTGAGACGTTAAACAAACATGTTACATTCACCCAGTAATTTTGTTCGTGATACTCGCACAATTACTGTAGGCTCAGGCGAGTGAGGTTTCATTCGCGGAGAATGAAGAGTGCAACCCTGCAACCCTCTGGGCGGAAGGGTTGGAGACAGGTCACAGAAGTGAATGCGATTGAGGGATACATTACATGAAAGGAGGAAGTTTCGTTGCACAGGTGGTGGTGCGAGTCTAATTAAGGGGGTAGAGCCGAGCAAAAAAGAGCTACATGTATAGATGCTATAAGTATGACTTCAGTTTTGTTCCACGGAGTACGCCTGCATCAGGACAACCCCAAAGCTACTATGGTATTAAAGTTAGAACATGTGCAGGCCAAACGGTCAGATCTCAAAGGGGTTGCCTGGACATCCAAGACGATCTCTGACGCTTTGTTCTCTAAAAGCAAATGTGCAGCGGGCAGCCTATGCACAAGGGGAAAAGATACCTAGGGTGGAGCAGGGAACAGCACACTTCAGAGTCGCCTGAGTAAAATGTTGCTTTTTACGAACACTAAGGTGGCGGCGATCACCCCGTTCGTGGTGAACAAAAAGTTTCCAAGTCACACCACAATATCACCCAGGGTTTGCCTTCCAATGGGTATCTGCCTTTGTGATACACTCAAAACAGGCTCAGTAGCTGCACCCACTTGCAGACGATGACAAATCTTTCTTCTGTGCATGTTTGAACTCTTCAGTACGACCCAATGCAATTGATTTTATCGTCCCACTTTCAAAAACAATGTTTGGAAGTTGGATGGCTCGAAAATCAACATTCTAGTCTGGAAACTGTGTGTTTTTGAGGGAATTTTGCCATGGGCACTGAAACTAGATTGCCCAAAACAATCTGGTGATTTGTGACGCCCGGGTATAATCACTGGTATGGAAGAGGCCTCTCGATCGGTCATCGCCAAATAAATGCTTGATCCCAAAAGCGGAAGAACAGTCACTAAGCCGCAACTTTGGTCGTCCATCTTGATCTGTAATACCAAGAACCACCGCCCCACGCTTACTTTCAATGATGCATCTATTTCTTCTATTGAGACCTCCCTCAAATACCATCTCAATGAGCTGAGACCATTTCCTTTTGATCGGGCCAGACAATCTTACTTTGATGGGCAAAAAATGAAATATGTAAGGACATTCATGTTTTAAGTTTTTTCCAGAAGATTTAGAGCTTTAACTAAATGGTGATCGGAATGCTCGAACCCAACTGAGGAGGTGCCATCTGATCGCATAACTCCAAACTGTCCAACCATTTGTGGCCATTGGCTCGTTCGCGATAAAACTGTTCTGTTTTGCAATGGAGCTGTTCAGTTTTTTGTCGGCGAGTCTTCTTCGGCACTGGGCATTGAAAGCGATTTGCCCTATTCATCACGTTGGTTTTCCAAATCTGCTCAGTGGTGCGCTAGCCTTTTAAATATTAATCAATGAGTTGCTAAATGGTTTCTTCCAGCGTGTGAGTATACTGATGAGCTGATGATATTTAGCCTTGATCTAA